ACACTTGACTCTGGATCAACGTCTCAAGACTCAAAAACACACAAAATCAAAGGAAAAAGAGTAAGAAAATGCAAACCTCGGTGGGGTTGCCTCCCCACAAGCGCTTCTTTACCGTCTTTTATCTGGACGCGCCAGTATGGATGCTCAGGGAAGTGTAGGATCAGGTGCCTTCAAGAGCGGATCCACATCGCTCTTGAGGTACAGCTTCAAATGGTGGCCATGTACTCGACGAATGTGGCCACCTGCATTTGCCAGCTCGACTTGGCCATCCGGCAAGATGCAAGCGAGTGAATACTCGGATGGACAAGGTGGGGGCGGGACCAGCTCATAGTGGTCTCCGGCTTTCTTTCGAGCAGGCTTAGCTGCCTGCAGTTTCGGCCGCCACTCCTCCTTGATCTGTTCTTTTGATAACGGAGTGGTCCAGAGTGGCGGCGAAGGTGTGGGAGGCGGTTCCTGCAAAATAGGCAGCACAGAAGGATACATGACAGACTCGTGCTCCTGGTGAGATACAGCATGTAGAGGTAACGAAGCAGGTATAGTGTTAGCAACTGAAAACGTTATTCGCTCCTCGCCATCCCTCAAAACTAAGGTCCCATCATGCACATCTATGAGAGCCTTGGCGGTGGCCAGGTAAGGCCTTCCCAGTATAAGAGGCACTTCTGTGTCCTCATTGATGTCCAGGATAACAAAATCCACAGGATATGTGAATTTGCCAACCTTAACCAGAAGGTCTCCCACTATGCCCTTAGGATGCACTACAGATCTGTCAGCTAATTGAAGGGTCATCCTAGTAGCACGGGGTTCGCCTAGGCCTAGTTTCTTGAACAGTTGATATGGCATAACATTGATACTAGCACCTAAATCCGCCAAGGACTTCTCTACATGCAATTTATCAATAGAGCACGGGATAGTAAAACTACCTGGGTCCTTTTTCTTCTGCGGAAGCTTGTTCTGGAGAATAGCCGAGCACTCCTCGCTGAGCTCCACAGTGGCCAGCTCACTCAGCTTCTGCTTCTTCGAGAGAAGCTCTTTCAGAAACTTCGCATACTTCGGCATTTGCGATAGTGCCTCCAGGAAGGGCACTTGGACATTCAGCTTCTTAAACATGGCCATGAAGTTCTCGAACTCTGTCTCCAGCCTGTCTTTGTGCAACCGAGTAGGGAAAGGGAGTTTAGGGACATACTCCTTCACTACTGGTTGCGGTTTAGGTGCAGGCACCTCAACCTCCGTCTCTACTTTTTGTTCAACCGCTGGAGACGCTAAAACAGGGCTCTCTCTTTCTGGTTCCCGAGCAGGGGGATCAACAGTCATCTTGCCACTCCTGGTCATGATGGCATTGCAGCGCTCATCCGGGGTCGGCGGGTGAGGGATGGTCTGCCCGGGTAGAGTACCAGGAGCCCTTTGAGCCACTGCCTGGGCCACGCTCCCCAGCTGGGTCTGGATATCCTGCAAAACAGCCTGTGTGTTCCTCTGACCAGCTTCAAGAGCCAGGAGTTTACCTGAGGCCTTCTCCATGAACTGCTCAAAGGTGTTGAATTTCTGAGCACTAGTACTGGCGAGAGAACCCACCAAGTCCCGCAGTTCAGCCATCTGATCATTCTGCACTGGGGCAGCAGGGGCTGCACCTGGCTGCTGGAAAGGCCGCGGCTGTGATTGAGCAGCATGCCCCTGTCTGGGCTGATATGGTGGCCTCTGGAAGCCTGGTGGTCCCTGGGGAGCTGGTGGTCTGGGATTTGGCCCAGCCCAGGAGAAGTTAGGATGCTGGCGCCACCCCTCATTGTACGTGTTGCTGTAGGGGTCATTGCGCCTGGCGTTGTTAATGAAGTTCACCTGCTCCTTGGGGTGTGGTTGATTCCTTCATCGCCTGGCAGTCCTCCACCGTATGATCGGTGCTTTCGCACCATTGGCAGAGCATCGCCTGCTGCTGTCCGGTCCCTGGAATCATCCCGGAACGATCGATAGCTGAGACCAGCTTCGATACTACCTGCACCAAATCAGAGGGATGGGCTCCCACAGAATGTACACCCCGTCCAGGTGCTCGTCTCGATCTCCTGGCAGTGCCCCAGTCGTACCCGTTCTCCGCCATCTCCTCAAAGAGTTGATTCAGCTTTGGCGGGGTTTTGTCAGCATGTTCCCGCCACAAACCGAATCAATCGGCTGCTTGTCCTCCGGGAAGAGGGCGTGATAGAAGGTGCCCACCTTGAATGCGTCATTGAAACCATGATTGGGACACCTGAGAAAGAGGTTGGTGTATCTCTCCCAAGCATCCCTAATGGTCTCATCCTCATCCTGAGAAAAATGTGTAATCTGCTTCTGGAGATCAGCTGTCTTGGACGGAGGATGGTAGCGGGTGAGGAACTTGTCCGCCAGGTTGGCGAACGTGGTGATGGAGCCCGGAGGTCGAGTGTCTAGCCACTCCTTGGCCTGTCCCTCCAAAGTGAATGGGAAGTACCTCAGCTGGATGGCATCTGCTGGTACCCCATTGATCTTGATTCCATCGATGAGCTCATGGAATCGCCTGAGATGTGATCGAGGGCACTCTCCCTCCTTACCACGGAACACCACTGAACCGCGTAGCATGGTGATCACTGAGGTGCTCACCTCAAAGTTGTTGGCTGGGACTTGAGGGTGTTGAATGGGTGACCTCATGTCCGCAGCCCTAGCAGTCCAGTAGGATCCCATGGTCTGCTCCTCGGGGATCACAGCACGGTTCTGCGGATCACCCATCTCTCCTTCTTCTTCTTCTCCTAACTGCAGCTGTGTTAGCGCCTCCTCCGCAGCCAGTCGCGCCTTTAGAGCCCGCTTGAAGTTCCTGCAAGTTCGTTCAAGCTCCTGGTCTAATGGTAGTAGATCTCCCGACTAGCTACGGGTCATGCACTACCTGCACACAATCAGCAGAAGCAACCCGTGAAGGCACACAGGTGGAAGAGATAAAATGCAGTAAATAAAAGCTAGAGTAACAAATTCTCACGTTTCCCCAATAATCTAGAGGGTCCCCGGCAACGGCGCCAAAAACTTGACACGCCAAAACACAACACCAAACTGCGACCAAGTGTAATCGCAGTCCGGGAACGCAGTAACAGGCAAGTTTAATTATCAACCTGGGGTCTAGATCTACTGCTTACTCCGTGATTCTCTATTATCTAGCAAACTAGTTCGAGTGATTGTTGTGAAAAGTAAAAGCAACAAGAAAGCAGTAAATTGTTCGGTTTTCTAAGGCAGGCAAGAGTCACTCGGGATTGAGTCCCCCTAGCCCCTTAGTTAGGTTCAATTGCAATTCCCTGGGTTGATTTACTGTTGATTAGACTGCGGAAGATCCGACAGTAGCTTGGAATCTCTTAAGCTGACCAAGCCCTCTCAGTCTAACTACCCGGCAGACGACTAGTCTTCACCGGGATAGAAAGCTGAGGCTATGAACACAGAACTCCTCTACTGGAATTGAATTCCAGTACAAAGCAGTAAACTGGCTAACTCTCGTATAACCAATCTCCTACTATCGAATGAAGAGGCTCTAACAACCTAATCAGATTCTATCTATCTCAGGTTGCAGTATAGTGGTAAGTATTCCCGCCTGTCACGCGGGTGACCCGGGTTCGATTCGATGAGAAATCATCGTCCCGGAGCAGATTATCCTCATCGTTATGAGTATGACTAATCCGATTCTTGTTTTCTCTTCTCTCTCTATGGAGTAGAACCCTTCTCTCACTTGGGTGTGAAGAACCCTAGTTCCTTGTGTTAGGGATTTGATTGTAATGACTTGGGATGATATTACTGTTTGGTTTTAATCGAATGATGCATGTTTATTGAATTGATTGGAGTCTGATCAGCTTTTCTCAATTTCTGCTGCAACCTGAGATAAATAGAATCTGATTAGGTTGTTAGAGCATCTTCATTCGATAGTAGGAGATTGGTTATACGAGAGTTAGCCAGTTTACTGCTTTGTACTGGAATTCAATTCCAGTAGAGGAGTTCTGTGTTCATAGCCTCAGCTTTCTATCCTGGTGAAGACTAGTCGTCTGCCGGGTAGTTAGACTGAGAGGGCTTGGTCAGCTTAAGAGATTCCAAGCTACTGTCGGATCTTCCGCAGTCTAATCAACAGTAAATCAACCCAGGGAATTGCAATTGAACCTAACTAAGGGGCTAGGGGGACTCAATCCCGAGTGACTCTTGCCTGCCTTAGAAAACCGAACAATTTACTGCTTTCTTGTTGCTTTTACTTTTCACAACAATCACTCGAACTAGTTTGCTAGATAATAGAGAATCACGGAGTAAGCAGTAGATCTAGACCCCGGGTTGATAATTAAACTTGCCTGTTACTGCGTTCCCGGACTGCGATTACACTTGGTCGCAGTTTGGTGTTGTGTTTTGGCGTGTCAACAGCCCCGACGGAGATGCTGGTCGATTCCACCGTCACACACCACCAGCAGATGACAACACAATCCGGGACAGACCTCTCCAGCGACTCTTCTATAGGTGGACAACCTAGTCGGATGGGGACAAATGATGTTCAGCTACCTTTTACGACTCAGATGGCTCCATCAGCTGCTAACGCTTCGACAACACATGCTCAGATCTTTTCCTATGCCAATGTCGTAACTGGTGGGGCATCGCTGAATACGGCTCATCCTTCGAACACCCAATGGACACCGGTCGGGGAGCATGATCTAATTCCCGGAGAACGGAATGGTGAGCCAGCACTCAGAGTCTCGACTGATTTCAAAAATAGGTTGTGCGCTCCCTGGCACAGAAATCTTGCGGTCAGGCTATTAGGAATCAAGGTAGGTTTCAATACCATATGCTCTCGGCTCTGTGCTCAATGGCGACCCACTGGAACAATGGAAGTCCGAGATTTGGATGAAGACTGCTATCTGGTTAAGCTGAACAACGATCAAGACTACTTCAAAGCCCTTACCGATGGACTATGGGTGATCTTTGATCACTATCTTGTTGTGCAACAATGGACTCCAAAATTCAAGCTGTCAGACCCACTCCCAAAGACGATGATTGTGTGGGTCCAGCTGCCGGCCCTGAAAATCCATTTCTACCATAAGGAAGTGCTCACGTCGTTGGGCAACTTGATCGGAAGGACGATCAAGCTCGACTACTATACGCTTACTCAACAACGAGCAAAGTTTGCCAGGCTCGCAGTGGAGGTTGATCTATCCAAGCCCTTGGTCCCAAGGATTTGGTTGGATGATGATTGGCAAAAGGTTGAGTACGAGAATCTTCCCATGGTGTGTTTCGATTGTGGCAAGATCGGCCACCAGTCTACCGCCTGCCCTCTGCTTCGACCAATCTCTATGATGGCGATCGTGACCGCCGGTGGCGGAGATACCCAGCTGGTTCCGGCGGAGGAATCGTTGGAGACTAACCCGGGGTTCGGTCCCTGGATGCTAGTTTCACACAAATCCCGGCGGAATTCAAGGGAAAATCAAGGAAAAGGAAAATTGGAGAAGGAATCAGGGAGCCAAATTCAAGGGAATTCAAATAGAAATGGAAAGGGAGTGAGCAAAATTAACTGATGATCCCTTACCCCCTTGACACAACAGAGTCCTCCACAGACGCAACGATCGCCAGCCCAGGAAAGGAAAGATCACGGCTACAAGGTTGGGGGTGGGGAAAAGAGAAATGGAAAGGGGATAATGAGAGATGAGGTGATCTCTTCAGAAAAATGCCTCCTTGGATCTGGCCCAACTCGGAGCATCCCTGTGAAACAAGGGCCAAAGCCTATGCTTGCTGCTGGCAATGCTTCAACGTCAAAATCGCTTGCTGAGCAGGAGATGGTTACAAAACAAGACCAGCCCGTTCAAACTCCTATGAATGGGCCCCAAGCCCATACTCCCTGCCCAACATCTGTCTTCTCGCCGCCCCCAATTTCCTCCTCCGTGGGCCCGAACGACACCAAACTACAGGTGGTGGAAGTTGCTCCCCCTGCTACCTCGTCCCACCGGAAGAACGAAATTCCTCCTCCCTCGACTGTGGCTAGAACTAAAGGAAGCAAAACCACCTCTGGCCGATCGAAGAAGGGTTCTCCGACAAAACTGCACTCCTCCAAGCCGCTCCAAATTTGGTCGCCAATGAAAGATAAGAAAGCAAAATCCAAGACACGCACAACCTCTCTTACCCTTCAGGAAATCGCAGCTTGGACGGAGGCGGCGCGTCCGATGGAGAAATCGTTGAGAGAAGCAGATTCGAATGAGGGGCTAGCAACGCAACCGAAGCAGAGGGCTCCGATGGGAGATTCGAGAACTCCTTCTGCCTAATTTGGTGTCTTCTGTTCCCCTTTTGCACTGTTTTTCTTTCTTATCTTTTTTTTCTTCTCATTATCTGCTTTTAATTATGTCGCACAACCTTTTGTTTAAAATTTTTGCCTGGAATGTGGGTGGTGCAGGTAGTAAAGCGTTCGCCCGTGCTTTGAAGTAGAGCATTCTGCAGCATCAGCCTGATTTTGTGGTTCTTTTGGAACCGCAGATTAGTGGTAATGCTGCTAATTCGATATGTGACAAGCTGGGCTTTCCCAACTCCATCAGAGTCGAAGCTGCTGGGCGTAAAGGTGGTATTTGGGTCTTCAGGGATGGAGGCAAATTCTCAGTGGAGCTCCTGTCGGCCTGTTATCAGCATATCTCTCTCCGTGTTAGTCAAGGAAGGCATGATTCTTGGGTCCTAACTGCAATTTATGCCTCTCCTCAGCAAAGCCTCCAACGAACTTTGTGGGATAGCCTAATTGAGCAAAGCAAGAAGATTGATTTACCATGGGTTCTCACAGGAGATTTTAATGCAATTCGGTCTTTGGAGGAGAGAACTGGTGCGCCTTCTAATGCCGTGGTTTGGAGATGCCATAAGTTCAATGAAAGGATCAATCTTGCAGAACTTGTAGATCTGGGTTTCTCGGGGCCAAGGTTCACTTGGACTAGAGGCAGACATAACCATACCTACAAAGCCAGCAGGCTAGATAGGATCTTATGTAATCTCCATTGGAATACGTCCTTCCTGAAAACCACGGTTCTCCACCTTCCTTGTCTGCAGTCTGATCACAACCCTATTCTTACCATTGTGGCTACCCAGGGGCCTTCCTTAACTGACTCTCATTCTTTTAAATTTGGGGCTGCTTGGCTCACTCATAGTAACTTTGAAGACTTTGTAACAAGTACTTGGGACACTGACGCTCCTCTTCCCCAAGCTCTCGACAGCCTGGCAGGAAAGCTTCGGGACCGGAACTTCAATGTCTTTGGAAATGTGCAGCAGAGGAAAAGAAGACTCCTTGCTCGTCTCCAAGGGGTCGAGGCTAGACTCTCCAGTTCTTTTACTCCAGCACTTGCTAAGCTTCACTCGAAACTTGAAGAGGAGCTGAATAAGGTTTTGGAGCAGGAGGAGCTAATTTGGTTCCAACGATCTGGAGAGAATTGGGTGAAATTTGGGGAGCAGAACACTGCTTACTTCCACCAGCAGGTCTCCATGAGAAGGTGACGCAACAAAATTAAGGCGCTTCGAGATGTCAATGGCCGTTGGGTAGTGGAGCCGGGGGTGCACTTGCTACTCTTGTGTTTGATTTTCTTGCTAACCTTTCCATGCAAGATGATTCGGTGTATGAGGATAGACTCCCCAAGAATGCTTTCCCCAGGATCAGCCAGGCAGAGCTTCTTATGCTTCTTCGCCTTTCACCATCATGGATATTCACAAGGCGATCTTTGACATGAAGCCTTTTCAAGCTCCCGGTCCAGATGGCTAGCAGGATGTCTTTTATCAGCAGATGTGGAGTGTAGTGGGGAAAGCTCTGACGGATATGGCTCTCAATTTCTTCTCCTCAGGGTCTCTTCCTCAGACTGTTTTTGAGTCTACGGTGGTTCTGATTCCGAAGGTGGACAACCCTGAGTTGGTTTCTCAGCTTTGTCCGATCTCCCTCAACAACGTCAGTTTGAAGGCCATCACCAAAGCCATGACTAGCCATTTGAAGCCCATTATGAGGAAGCTTTTTTCACCCAGACAAAGCAGTTTCATTCCAGGGAGACAAGCGACTGACAATATCATTGTGGTGCAGGAAGCGCTTCACACTCTTGGCAGGAGGAAAGGGAAGAAAGGAGGGATCATCCTCAAGATTGACCTGGAGAAGGCCTACGATATGTTGCGGTGGGATTTTCTTCGGGATACTTTAGGAGAGATTGGTCTCCCAAGTTCTTGGATAAACTGCATCATATATTGTGTGGAGCAGAATCGAATGAGAATCCTCTGGAATGGCGAGTTGTCCCAGCCTATATCACCAACCCGGGGTGTTCGTCAGGGAGATCCTCTTTCTCCCTACCTTTTTGTTTTTTGCATGGAGAGACTATCTCATATGATTGATGAAGCAGTCTATTACAAGACTTGGAAGCCGATTCGCTTATCTAAGGATGGCCCCCCTTTAACTCACCTCTTTTTTGCAGATGATCTCTTACTTATTGTTGAGGCAGAGACGAGGAAGATTAGGGTGATCAAGAAATGCTTGGAGGATTTTTGCTTCAGCTCCGGTCAAAGGGTTAACTACAACAAGTCCCTTCTGTAGGTCTCCCCCAATGTGGCGCGGCAGAAGGCAGAACATCTCAGTAGGTGTGCAGCCATCCCCTTCAAGGCTGAGCTTGGGAAGTACTTGGGACTCCACACAATCCATGGGAGGGTTACTGTTGGCCGCTACCAGGACTTGCTGCTTCGAATTTAGAGGAAATTTGTGCCTTGGAAAGCGAAGAGGCTTTCTTTTTCCGCTCGGCTCACTATTGTTCGATCAGTTTCTGCTGCTCTACCAACTTATTGTATGCACACTGATCTTATTCCTAGTGGGGTTTGCAAGAGTATTGATAGAATGAATAGGGATTTCATTTGGGGAGATGAAGAAAACAAGTCAAAGATGCATCTTGTAGCCTGGGACAAGATGATCCTTCCTAAGAGACAAGGAGGTGTCGGGCTCAGATCTTTGAAGCATGCAAACTTGGCTATGCTTGCTAAAAGTGGGTGGCGGCTGGTCACAGAGAAAGAGACTCTCTGGACTCAGCTGATGGTTTCCAAGTACGGTCGCCAGCGGGAGCACCTCGATCTCATCCGGAATCTTAAGGGAAGTTCCTTTACTTGGAATAGCATTTCTAAAGCTGCTAATCTTCTTAAGAAAGGTTGTGCCTGGAACATTAAGAATGGAGAGTGCACTAAGTTCTGGAATGATACGTGGGTTTTGCAGGTTCCTCTCAAAGAAGTGGCTTGTAGGACCATCCCGGAGCATCAACAAAATGCCACTGTAGCGGAGTTCGTGACCGAGGATGGCAGATGGAAGACCCACCTTTTTGTGGAGCTTCTCCCTGTCGAGGTGCACCAGAAGATCCTGAGCATTAGCGTGGACAACTTGTCGCAGGATGAAGATACTATTTTTTGGGCAGCGTCGTCGGATGGCCGCTTCTCGGCAAAGTCAGCTTACTCACTTCTTAATGAGCGCCCTCCCAACCCTGAGGAGAAGTCTTGGAAGATCATTTGGTGTCTGCCGGTCCCGAAACGGATTAGAAGCTTCATGTGGATGGTAATGCTTGGGAAGATCGCGACTAACTCTCTTCTTTTTTCCAGGAAGGTGGCGCCCAGCCCGATGTGTACTCGATGTAATGAGCCGGTTGAGTCGATTCTTCACATTCTGCGAGACTGCACTCCAGCCTGCTACTTCTGGACTCGCCATGTTCCTGGAACTTTGCTCCATACTTTTCAAAGTCTGGATGAGCGTAGTTGGCTGCGGGAGAACCTCAACAGCAGCGAGCAGCTAGGCTCCGGGATAAGCTGGCCCGCTTTTTTCAGCATCGCGACTTGGCTCATCTAGAAAAATCAATGCACGGCCTGTTTTAGAGGTGTGAGCTCTGCCCTTTCACCTCCATCTCTTGAGAACTCTATTATGGTGAAAAGCAAGTTATGGCATGATGCGTGGCTTGCTCCGTCACCTCTCCCGAGCTCCAGATGTCGCCCAGCCGCCCGCACGGTTGCTTCGATGGGGTGGAATCCACCGCCTGTTGGGTGGATGACCCTGAACGTGGACGGAGCCTCCAACGGGAATCCTGGGGCAGCCGAAGCAGGGGGAGCCCTCCGCAACTCGACTGGACGATGGATTGTCGGTTTTGAAGCAAGACTTGGCGTGGCGACAGCAGCTCTAGCGGAACTTTGGGCCATCTTTCATGGACTAGACCTGGCGTGGAAGACAGGATGTCGAGCTTTCATCCTTGAATCTGATTCCCAGCTTGCCATTCAGCTTCTCAAGAACAGACATGACCTTGTGCACCCGTATGCGACCCTTCTGTCAGCTATTCGGAGGAAGATCAGTCAAGATTGGCTGGTGCGCATCACTCATACATACCGGGAAGGGAATAGAGTCGCGGACTGTGACATCCCAAACCGGACGAAATAAAATGGAATAAATTTAAAAGTGAAATAGGTTTCTTCTATAAATTTACAACATAAATTCTACATTGTGAAATTTGGGTTGTTGACTGGGGAAGATGTAACAGGAAACAATAATAATAATCAT